GGTTTGCAGGTGAGTCCACGTCTGAGTATAGTTGTGTAAGACTGAAAAAGTACGTATATAAGAGCCAATGCCTGGAATGATGGAAGATAGTTCTCATGGCTTGCGTAGGAGCAGCTCTTTATGCATGTTGTTTTCATATATAGGATTTGAACATTTAATATTGTTTAAGAGAAATTACGCGGTTTCCACTCAATTCAACCAGGGTTGATGTTGTATTATTACTTTGTTTAATTTACTCAATATGTTCTTACAAGGTCATAGACAATAATTATATTTTGTTTGGAAGCGGAGAATGAGGAAGGAGTCATAAAAGAATCGAGCAGTGCTGTCTATTTAAACTCATTTTTAATAAGAGTTTGATTTAAAAAAATATTTTTTTTTCAAAAATCAAGCTTTAGAACTTAGTATTGATAGGTCTTAAAAAATGAGTTTAAATTCGAGTGACCCTTTTAAACCTCTTTTGATTTTAATTCTAAAAAAATAAAATATTTTTATTTTTAAATTAAATTTAAATTTTAAAATAAATGTTTATACTTTAAGATTAGATTTTTGATTATTTATTTTTAACTTTTAATATTATAATTTGTATTTTGAAAACATATAAAATGTTATGATTAAAATTTTTAAAAATAAAAAAATAATAATAAAGATTTTGTGAGCTTGATTCTGAACTCCTTAGATAAAAATCAAACTTAAAAAATCAGATGATTTTTAGAAAAATCGAATTTAAAGACCTGCACCTCACGAGCTCAGGCCCCAAACCTGTCCGGTTCCTACCTTCAATAAAGAAAGAGAGGAGGAGAGGGAAGAGGAGTGGGGGAAGCAGGAATCATAACCAAAAATTTTGAAAAAGCAAAAGAAGTCGGATTCCAACTGGGACCACCAAGCGCTTTGCCTTTTCTGATTTCTCTTCCGCCTCACCACATCAACTGTTCGACCGACTTCAAAAACTAGTATATCCTAATTTACAGGCTGGATTCATTTGACACTGGCTTCTCACTCATGTCTAATCCCTACTCGCAACGGTAATTACAGTCCCACGCGATCCTCCTAATTACGTTTCGAGAGGGGTTGAAGAAAGAGACGGAGGGACAGGTGAGAGTGGGTCCCACCCTCCCCCAATTCATTATTTCCGCGTTCGTTCCTTTCCCAAATTTGTCATTCCTCATTCCCCGTCCTAACTTTAAGCCTCTCTTTTCATTCGAATCATTTCCCACTAACTCCAAAATTGTACTCTCTCTCAGATGCCCTGCGTTCAGCCCATTGCATATTGAATCCATCTCACCATTTCCACTGATTCCAACTTCCAACAGATCTCTCTCTCTCTCTCTCTCTCTCATCCGCCGTTAATTTTTTTCCCGTTATTTTTTATTCAAGCATATCAACATGTGAATGTAACAAGTTTCATGTAAAAAAATTTCATCCTCTCTGCCCATTTTAATCTCTTTTCCAAATTCAGGACAGCTACTTCACCCCGCATACATGATAATGTATTGTATGCTACTTTATTACTACGACTTGGATTGATTAAAGGCCCTGCTCTTAATCTAAAGCTAGGAATCACCAAAAGTCTGATAAAATTTGGGAGAAAAAGAGACTCCTCTTAAAGTCATAAAAAAGAGTTCCCCATTATGACCACGTAGCTTTGCTCTCAAGAAAGAATAAAGATAATAATCATTTAGCAAACCTTTTGATTCTATCACTCGTCACTTGTACTTTGAGGAACAGATTAACCAAGCAAAACAGCATCTACCAACTAGTAGTATTCAGTTAAACAATGTACAAACTTATGAATTTGAATCAACATCTCAAGTTCAATGAAACTCTCGGTTGACTAGTCTATCTTCAAAATTACTAATATGCAGTACCAATTGGAGGGACAGGAGGAAAGTAAAGGCAAAGAAACAATTCCAAACTTACTTTTACCCCCTCTTCTTGATAAAATGAATTTACGGTTGACAAACCGGACAAACCATTATTTGAACATAGTTGAAAAATCAATACTCATCAAATTTGTCCTTTCGACTCTTCCTAACTATATTATGCAAATTATACTTCTTCCTGATAATGTTCTAATTGAGTTAGAAAAAAGTTCTAAAAATTTTCTTTAGGGTTCATCTAATGGTATCAAAAAGGGTATCTTCTTTCTTGGGACTATATTACTAAGGATAAAAAAGAGGGGGGCCTCGGCGTTAAGAAACTTAAAAATTAAAATATAGCCTTCATCATGAAGTTTTGTTGGGGCCTCATCACCAAACCTAATTGTCTCTGAGTGCGTATTCTTTATGATAAATACAAATGTAATAAACCCAACATTTCATTGATTGTCAAACCAAACTCTTGCTCTTATACTTGGAGTAGTATATGCAAAATTTAGGAAAAATTTATGTATCATGTTGGTTGGAAAGTTGGTAAAGGAAATCAAATATTTTTTTAGTACGATAAATGGTCTTCGCCCCCAAAACCTTTTGTTAAATATGCTTTCCTCAATGCTAACTCTATCCTTTATGCTAGAGTCTCTGATCTATGCAATAATGCAAGAGGATGGAATATAGATCTCCTAAGACATTACCTTCACTCTAATGTGATCAAGTATATATATCGATTGTATGACCTCCCAATCACCAAAATGAAAACGATGTTCTTATTTGGAGGCTCTCTTTTGATGATAACTTTTTCATTAAATCTGCCTGCAGAACCTTGAAAACTCATAAGGATCAAAATCACTTAAAGAATGAAGTAAGGAGCTTGAACACAAGAAGAACACCTTGGTAGAATCTTTTTGCTCAAGCTTGCTGGAATATTTAGAAAACTATATGCAAGAAACTCTACTTTGAAGATGAGATCTAGATAGTGATATTGCCTTCTTCAACTATCAACAAATCAACAATGACATGAAACTTCTTTCCTAAGTCAATCATTTAAATAAAAGAAGTACTAGTTTGATGTTACTTGAAAATCACTTGAAATTGGATGGGTTAGATTAAACACTGATGGTCTAGTTAACATTAATGGCACTGTTGCTTGTGGAGCCATGGCATCATTAGAGACAATAAGAGAAATTGGATCAAAAGTTTTTTCAAGCATATTGTCTATTAACTTAGCACAGCAATTGGATTTATGAGAATCTACAAAGACCTTATCATTTGCTAGAATGAAAAATTATCCAAAGTTAATGTTCATTCATACTCAATGGAAGCATTATCTCTCATTAGCCACCACTACTTTAGATGATCTCACTGTGAGAGATTGGGTAATTACTTTTGATCATATTTATAAAGAAATAAATAAATGCATTAATCACTTAGGCTATTGGATATCTTGCGATAATTTTATTACTATGATCTATAATATTTTTTTGTATGATTATAAAAGTCCCTTAACTTTAAATATGACTAAATCTTAATTTCTTTTCATGAATTGATGTGCCATATATTAAAAAGAAAAAAGAAACAAACCAATTCGATCCATGTGATGTCTTTAAAAAGAAGGGGGGCGGGGGGAATTGCCGTTGGGGGATGAGGACGAGGCAAACGGCAAGAAGACAGAGTAAAAGACGATACTAGAAGTAGAAAGAAGACCACATCTTGGGTAACCCAAATAAATGATGTTGCTGGCAACTTCTTTCAAGCCAGGATGGGAATGCCATTTCATGCCTCATCATCTTTCATGTTCTTTTTTTTCTTATTCTTATCCCGCCTTTCCATTTAAAAAAATAAATTTGTCATTCTTGTGAAAATATAAAATTCTCAAAATTAACAAAAGTGAGTTCCATAATGGATTTCTCAATTGCATTTAGATAGCATGTTGTTTTTTCTTGGAGTGGAGGGCGGGGTTGGGTCCACCTACGCCCTGCGAGCCCTTCTTTCACGCAACGGAAACCATTTTTTGAGGTGGATAAGTTGCTCTAGGACTGCGCTCAGTCCTATCCGATCCACTTGATCTTAAGATGATCCAGTCCTATTTAATTTTCATAAACATTAGTTTTTCAAAATTAAAAAATTTAAAAAGATTAAATTATTTTTTGAGTTGAATTGAATAAAAGATTGAATATTTGGAACACTTGATTCAATCCAATCCCATTAATTTATTTAATATAATTATAATTAATTTATTTTTTAAAAATATTTTAAGTGTAATTTATGTTAGAGAGATGACTGTATGAAGATATATTGAGTTTATTTCTAAATTATTATTATAATATGATGTTATTGAAGTTTGTTGAGTATTATTTTTGTTGAAGTTATAAATTTAAATCATTTAGATTGTAATTAAAATTTTTTTCTTGTTGAAAATTATTTTAAATTTATTATGATTATAAGTGATCTTATTATTTTAATTGAATTTATTAGGTTAAAATAAATTATTATCTCTTATAGAAAAAAAAGTAAAAAAAAGTTAAGTGAGTAATAGATTGTTAGGATCAGTCTTTAAATTTTATAAATTAAATCCAGTTTTATTAATTTTTAAATTATTATTTGATAACATCGGATTATAAATTATTTAATTCAACACTTTTTATAAAAAAAATTAAACTTTAACTTAAGTTAAAATTCAGTGTATCCTTTGTGCAGCCCTAAGTTGCTCCATTATTAGTTCAATACCCAACGGTCATTCTACCTCCAAAGCACGCAGGTTTTCGCCCCTTTAACCAAACAGTAAAAACACACAGTGTTACCGGGGCTAACGTTTGTAATAAACGTTTTGGCTTGAAAATGAAGCAAAAGATGCCAAGCTGGCTGCTACGAGAGTTGGATAGAGGGAGGGGACCACAGGGACAAGACAAGAAATGACCGTTGCAAGGCGTGGACCTATTGGGACTATTGTGGTTTCCAGGCTGACAAAGGCAAACTTAGCCCTACCCTTGTTGCCATGATTACTCTCTCTCTCTCTCTCTCTCTCTCTCTCTCTTCACATGGTCTTGCTGTTCATGCGGGTCCCACCTCACCCCCTCCCCCCTTTAAAAAACTTTCCTGTTACTGCCCATTTTATTCGAAACTCTCCGTTGTCTTTAACCCAGCTTTTGGCCATCTCCCTCTTCTTCGAGCACCATCCGTCCTCTCCTTCCCTACTCGACACAGCTTTCTTCTTCCAATCGTAGGTGCCCTTTCATTTCATACAGAAACATGTCGAAGGAGGTGAGCGAGGAGGGCCAAACCCACCATGGCAAAGACTACGTAGACCCTCCACCGGCTCCTCTCCTAGATGTGGCCGAGCTCAAGCTTTGGTCTTTCTACAGGGCCCTCATCGCCGAGTTCATCGCCACCCTTCTCTTCCTCTACGTCACCATCGCCACCGTTATCGGCCACAAAAAGCAGCCCGGCCCCTGCGACAGTGTGGGCCTCCTAGGCATCGCTTGGGCCTTCGGTGGCATGATCTTCGTCCTCGTTTACTGCACCGCCGGTATCTCTGGTAAGTTCAACCCAATCTCCCAATTTCTGCACCATCTAGTGTACTGTGACGTCTGAAGCGATTTGTCTTAACTTGTTCGGGCATGCGTGTTCGTAGGTGGCCACATCAATCCTGCGGTTACGTTCGGGTTGTTCTTGGCCAGGAAGGTGTCGCTCATTCGAGCTTTGGCGTATATGGTGGCTCAGTGCCTGGGAGCTATTTGCGGTACTGGGCTGGTGAAGGCGTTCATGAAGCACTCGTACAACTCGCTCGGTGGTGGCGCTAACCAAGTGGACTCTGGCTACAGCAAAGGCACTGCTCTAGGCGCTGAGATTATCGGAACCTTCGTACTGGTTTACACCGTTTTCTCCGCCACTGATCCCAAGAGAAGCGCCCGTGACTCTCACGTTCCTGTATGTTTGATGCTTCTGTACATACTGTACACAGTACTAGCTAGTCTGGTGGCGATGCAATTATCTGTTGTACGTTTCTGCTTCTGTATGTAATGTAAATTACTGTATGTGGGTTGCAGGTTTTGGCTCCATTGCCAATTGGATTTGCTGTTTTTATGGTTCACCTGGCTACCATCCCGATCACCGGTACGGGCATAAACCCTGCAAGGAGCTTCGGTGCTGCTGTTATCTTCAACAACGGCAAAGTTTGGGACGACCAGGTTAGATTTTTCTGTTGAACTCTAATATTATGCTAAGATTAGTTTCTATATATCAGGATTAATATTAAATGCTGACGGGTTGGCATGCGTGGTTGGATGCAGTGGATCTTCTGGGTAGGTCCATTCGTAGGAGCATTGGCGGCGGCAGCGTATCACCAGTATATTCTGAGAGCAGCGGCTATCAAGGCGTTGGGATCGTTCCGAAGCAACCCCAGCAACTAAAAACAATTGAAGAAAGTCGTGGATGCGTTAATTAATCATTTATTCGTTTGTTTTGTGTGGATCAGATGTGATTATGACTTGTAATTTTGCTTATTATCTTTTTCTGGTGTAGAACTTGCAATATCTAGTTTGCTGCTGCTGGCTTTTGGCCGGGTATGTGTAGTATTTCTTTCTTTTGTTAAATTAGTATACAACCTTCGTCTTCTCATCATAACAAAAGAACCGCACATCAACGTGAACGTAATGAGAAGAGTCGCGTGAACGGGATCGGCATTATTAAAAGGAAATAGGGAAGTTCGAGAAGCTTCCGACTGTCAGTTGGCCACCGCATCCCTCCTGTTAATTGGATATTGGATTGCTCCTGCACTTGTTTACTTAGGTAGAGCGTATTATTTGTTTTGGTTTTATACAAGTCATCTTTGTTAAATTTTTATAGCAATTTTTTTATTTGATCAATTTGTTACTAAAATATTTGTATTTAAGAGAAGTATAATTGGGAAATAATTAAATTTTTATGTGATTAATAAATTTTATTTTTTTTAATGTTAGTAAAAGACGTTGAAAAATAATTTATAAATAAAACAAGAAAAGCATTAATTTCTAATTTCTACGAGTGAGAGAACAACAAAATAGAGTATTACTCTATTATTATTCACGAGGAGGGAGTGGGCGCGTTTTTCAGCTTGCTATTTAAAGTTTTACCCGAAAAACTAATATTAATAATTATAAGAGAAGAGAGTTGCAAGTTGCAATAGAAGGTGGAACAAAGGATGTCTGTCGCGTCTTTTAAGGCTGAACTGTGGGGGTCAGTTGATAAGTATTAAGGCCCTGTTGAACAGTCTGTTTTTTGAAACAGTTTTTTTTTTTTTTTAACATGTTCTAAAGACTATTTTTAAAAAATAAAAAAAATATTATTTTAAAAAATAAAAAATAGAAGTATTTTTAAATATTTTGATGTTATTGTGTTGAATGATAAGAGAGATTAAAAATATCTTTTAAATATATATATATATATATATATTTTTTTCAGAACATGTTTAAGACAAGCTTCAAGTTTTATTTAAATTTATATTTAAAAGAGATTTCTAAAATTAATAAATATAATTTTAAATAATAAAATAAAAATATTTTTTTAAAAAACAATTTTTTTATTTAAAAAATGTAAAAAAATTATAAATTTAAATTATGAAAATTAAATTTCAACTATTCAAAAATGATAATAGGCTTTCAATTCTTATATATGTGAAGAGCATCGAAACAAGTTGAATCCCAACTCAGTTGAACACAGGCCCTATTTGTTAGGATTGAAAGTGTGGGATTGATATTGGAAGTAAATAATCTCACCATTTTATGTTTGGTATGAGAGAATGAAAAATCTTAATTTCACCTAAGTGGGAATAGGTGGGATTATCCAATACCACTTATCCTTAACATTGAAAAATTAATTCTGAGTTTGATTATTTTCAAACTAAATTGCTCTTACCTCTCACCTTCATCTCTCTCCCTCGACCCTTACTCAGTCGACGCACTTTCAGACCAAGCAACCCCGACACCTCTCTCATCCATCAATGCCAATGTCATCCTTTACTAATGCCACTGCAAGATTTGAAGAGAGAAGGAGATCGAAGATGAGAGAAAGAGGAGAATGATTGACAACCGAAGCCTCTCCTCTAATGGCGGCGACCTTGGCGGGATCTAATCCGCTAGATGGAGTCATTATGCTTGCCCTTGAAGTGTGACGAGTTTCGATATGTCCTAGACTTGACAGTCGTGTGGTGGTGGAAGCAGCAATACAACAAGTAAAAGGAGGACCTAGCTTTGTCCTTAAGAGAGAAAGAGAGAGAGTCGAGAGACTATGGTCACAATTCGCCATGAATGTGAATAGCAATAAGCTTAAGAATCAATCCATACACAGAGAGAGTAATGGGAAATAATAGAAAAAGGATGCGAGGATTGTGCAATACGATCATGAAGAATGGCCCAAATTACATCAAAACTAGTGGTTTCTCCAGAAGGGTGGGTAATATCTTCTAATCAATTTTTTTTTAAATTTTAAGGGGCATTACAATCTTTCATAATTTATATTTAATTATAAAATAAAATAAAATAAAATAAAAGGAAATATTCCTCGCAAATATTACTCCATAGCAAACATGATTTTAAAACCTCATTTCTACTCCTAGTTTCAATTCTAATCCCAATCTCATTCCTAATCTCAATTTCAATCTCTCTAAATTGATACCTGTATACCAAATAAGGCCATAGGTTCATCACATGAATCCCTCTCCAATCCAGGGATTCATTGATCACAAGAACTAACATCGTGGTTCTTGTAAAGAACCTGTTTCTTCCTTACTCCACCTCTTGAACCCAAGATGGATGGTGAGTTAAGAAACAAGATTGGTCTGGCATAACCTGTGCAAAATAAGCTAACCTATTAGCACATCTATTTTGGTCTCTAAATATGAAATTTAAATTAGCTACAAAAAATCCACCCACTAGTATTCTAGTTTAGCGGTTTCATGTAATAGATCATGATAGGGATGGCTATGCGGGGTGTAATCTCCCTACTCTAATTACCATTAACCCCAAACCAAGGTAACTAAGGATCTAAACTCAACAAGGATTATCAAGTTTTCACAATTTGCACAAATGAGATTCCAAGATTTTAATATTTAAAATTACTCTCATACTCTTTCAATATATTCAAATTAGAGTTTAAAATAGCTGCGAAATCCTAAGAGTGAAAGGAAGAATCAAAACATGCATAAAATATCAAAACAGTGAATTGTGCAGAAACTGCACGTGCGCTGCGGCTAATTGCAGGTACGTCGAGGCATGTTGCCTCTATGCCACATGCCGCAGTGTATTGCACAAGTTTGACAACATTGGAGACGAGCTTCTGATGCGTCTTAAATCTCTGTTCGACGTTTGATTAAGGTGATCTAGGTGTCTACAGAAAACTTTTTTTTAGCTCTAACTAATGTTACAAGTTTCACAACCAAATTCATTTTCTATCAAAAGTTGGACACCTATTACCAATTTCACTCCCTTTTCACAAAAACTCACAACTAAGGTACCTAAACTCTCACACATGCAAAAAACCTACACCAACATTTAGATCACACTCAATGAATCATTTTGGAATCGTGTAACACACCACACCCATTCAAAAATACACTTATCATAAATTTAACCATCAACCCTTGAATTCACAAAAACACAAGGGGGAAAACTTTGCATAAATATTTATCCCAAAACAACCACAATACACTTTACTTAAATAATTATTTCGGCCCTATATAAGTTTTACAACCACATATCACTAACTCAAGGTACAAAATACACATAATTTTTACAATAATAATGCAAGTAGATCAAAACAATAATATGAGTCCTAGTTGACAAATTAACAACTTAAATACACATCAAAATAAATCTAAGAGGCCTATTAATAGGAATTACTCAGAATTCTAAGCCTCTAGTCTTTTTTCTTATCTTGATACGATGAGTTAGGCCCTAAAAATATTGAAGAATGAAGGGTAAGTACAACCACTTAGTAACTAAGATCTATCTAATCTAATATAGTTGCATATCAATGAATATAAATGGCAATAAACTCAGTTATCACTTAAATATATAGCAAGTATAGCCTCGACCACAACAATAATAACCATGTGACCGAGCATACAATACCTATAATTGATATATCACAAATAAACATTTTGGGATTGCAAGAATAACAACCATACGTCCCTAAACACATCGAACCATAATGATAACAATCATGTGGCTAGGACTAAATGTATGATCAATGCCAATCTTATATCCTCCTGTTACTTCTAATATGAAACTGATGGCTATTAGTGGCTACGCTCGTAACTCAGTCTAGCCCAACTTTTCACTTCTGAGGAGCTACCAGCCCAAGATTAACTCACTCACTTGTGTACCACGGTTTATCTTAATATTAACAATTATGGGATGTCATACCCTTAATCCAGCCTCCTCATGAATTTGTGGAGACTAATTAGATTCGAGTTCCTTAAAGAATAAGTGGGACAATTTTCAATCAACCATTAGACAATGATTACCTCCTGATTCCAACAATTAATGCCTAGGCAAGCTTTCAATTCCAACAATAAGCCACCAATACCACATAAATTTATCAATCTACTCTTCTCCTTAGGTGAACTCTCACCAATGATCATACAATGCACATATTAAACATATTATACAATTTAACTAACAATTCATCTCATATCTCATCCATAAGCATGCTCTTTTCACTATACAACACATATCAATTATTTCATCATTCACATATAAGCATGCTCTTAAATCTCAATATCAATCATAATTATACAAACATGCATATAATTTCTCCATACTCATATACAAGATTCATATCACAATACAACACATTGCAACATTTGCATCAACGGGTTCTCAACCACCTAAATAATTTTCAAATGGTTTAACTCAATAAACAATAATAAACATATAACTATAAAAACAAGATTTTTCCCTAATTACTTTAAATTTTTGAAAGGTCAAAGGTTTATCCCTCAAAATATAAGCTTCCAATTTAGTTTGAATAGTGCTAGAATTAGACAAATCTACAACCAATCTCTAGGACATTCATCAATATCCTTCTTTGAGTAAATTTTTTAACATTTAACTCCACATTCTCATTCCATCAATATCATAAATTCACTATCAATAATACCCAATGAGTTCACTAAATTCCAATTACCTATATTGTCATTAATGAGCCATTAAACCACTATTAATGGCTATCAAATACTTTCAACTACCTTATTTATTTCTCATTTTAGATATTAATGGTTCGCAACCACTAACAACTCACAAAATCATTAATACAAGGTTTAAATAGTCTAATCAACCTTCATTATATCCATTATAGCCAATGGGTTTAGACCCTTAGCTCATATGGATCGAAAATCACTCTTCCAACTCAAACCCTAACTTAACTTCTTATAAAAATGGAAGAAAAGGGATGAGGAAGACATAATATATTTACCTTGGGTATTAGGAAGTTTCAAAATATCACCAATGGTTTCCAAGTATCCTAGCAGAGCAATCTAGTGCCTTTCGTTTTCTCCTTTTCTTTTCCTCTTGTTTTCTTTCACACAGACACAAATTGATGTAGTTTGAATTTTGGCCGTGCATCGTGATGCATGGCACAGAGAGGCTCAGCTCACATTGGTTGCCTCTGTGCTCCACGGTGGACGTTCCTCATGCTGCAGCATGTGGCACAGAGAACCTTTTTTCACCTTTTCTTCCACTTTTGATGCTTAGGTGGTCCAACTTCACTTTGAACCCGCATTTAAGGCTGAAATCATAATCAATTACACAAGTTAGACCCCTTTGGTCATACACCATGTCAATAAACTTAATTACCCTCATTAAGCTTAGTTAATCATATTTAAATTTCTAGGATATTACATGAAGTATCCCTAATAACTAAGCCTATAGCATAGGCACAATACGAGAAGATTTGAACTTCATTGATCCCCATCCTCGAACACTCACAGAGGACACGAGCACAATGCTTTGAACTTAAGTCATCATAACAGGAGGCAAACCGCCAATTTTATAGCAGAAACCCATCTTCCAACAATTTTCATTGGCGTTCTTGATGACTCCACTTCCAACAACTTTTGTTGCTGCTGGAAGTTAATTTTTTTTATAGTGACAGCAAGCGCTTGTTCCTTCTTTGCTTACTGCACTATCAATCTCTAGAAATATATACGTCCTCCTCCCTGTTATGTGGTAGTTGCTGGTTTCTGTTTCCGAATGATGAAGCACCCTTTAAAGTTGATTTCACCTGAGATTTTGATAGATGCACATATGAATGAATGCCGGACTCCTAAAATTGGAAAATGACAGATTAGAATACACGTCAAATTTAAAGAGAAAGATACATACAAATAAAATGTTCATTTCTTTCTCATCCCCCCTAAATTAAGTAAAATTCATCCAAATTCACCTCTCTGGGTTCCACGGGATCTACATCTTGTACATCCTTTTCACGTGTAGTGAACATGCTGACAGGAGTGGCAAGTTCATAGCTCACAATAGACAAACATAACCGAAACATTTACTCTCTTGTACCCCAACGTGTGGCCCTGTGTGAAGCGAGTGTGTCCAGTTCAAAATCAGTCCACCTCCATAGTTCCTTATTTGTGTGTGTTTGTGCGCGTAATCACATCACATTATGACCTCACATTATTGAGGTTCTTACAGTAAAGAAACGTAAATATTTACATTGAAACGAAATTTAACTCCAACCAACCCAACCCCAAGGAAAATGAAGAAGAAAATGAGGTGATGAGAAGGAGAGTTCGAGAAACTTCCAACTATCACATGTCGAAGTTACTGATTGGTTGGCGGATAAGATAACAGTCGTTAACCATTAGAATTGATGCCGGAGCCCTGCAATGGATGCAGGCCAGAATCTGCGGCGTTCACAGAGGTTGGCCACCTCATGATGTCACAAGAACGAAAGTATTTTGTGTATGGTCTCTTTTTTCAAAACGTTGTGAAAAATATCACGTGAGAATTATTTGGTTTCAGTTTCAGGATTAGTATGTTATTTTTATAAACTTGATTGGCAATAGCGGGAAACATGAGCAATTAGATTGAGCCTTGCTTTAACGGTAGCAACAACTCCTCAATTTGTGAGATTATGCTGCGTCATTCATTCCTCGTGCCTTTTATCAAGCACCGTTCTTATATCCTAACGTTCAGAGTCAAGCCACCGCTGGCCCCGTTTCTAATAATGGTGTCAAGCTCACTTTTCACTTCGATTCGAAGCCGAAGTCGCCTTTAGGAGAAACCAAGAAATGCACGAGTGTGGGATAGATTAGGCAAAGCCAAATTTCATTGATTCCGGAAGCAGTCGATTGAAATATCCTACAGAGCATTTGCACTGGGTCTCGTTGACCACCCTTACAAATTAACATTCGTAATAGTAAAGCACGAAGGAAGCCGAACAAAACTAGATTCCAAACGACACGCAGAACAAGCGAGCTACAGTACATTATTTGTAGCGTACACCTCTCCAGCAATAACTCCAACCACTGCACATTACATGAATTAAAAAAGCCATAAAAATGTCTGGTCACAAAGGTCACCCCCTTGAACTTGAAATGACTTGATCCAGAAAGCGATCTTGACAAGGCTCACCCGACAACAGAGTAATAATTATAATCATTATTTGCATTGTATGGTAAAAATTTTTACAACCTTCCCTCCCGGCGTGAGCTTTTGACTTATACAAGGTGCAACAAAAAGCATTACACAAGCAGAAGCCTTAGTCAGGCAGCGCAGTTCCTCGTTCCAGATTATTTTTGATCTCCAACGTGTATTTCCCAAATGCTCGTTCAATCTTCTTGTTGAAATGCTCATTCCGATCATTAATCGAGTCAATATCCTTCTCTTCATGAAACTTTCTTCTCCTGCTAAATGAGTTGAGTTTCTCTTCCCTGTCCTTCAGTTCCTGTACCATCCGGTCAATCTTGTCCTGTGAGATCTTTGGTACCTGTTGTAAATGGAAAGATAAGCCATCACAAAATGCACGACATAAAACAGGCGTTGTGAGGAATAAGTATGGTTTTGGTAGAGAACCTTTCCATATTGCAGACTTGAAGCATCACGGTAGAACTCTGGATCAGCTTCTTTCATTTTCTTATATTCTTCTAAATCCACCTCAATATTCTTGGTTCGCTTCTTGTATGCATTGTACAGTGTCTTCTGGTTAAAAACTGATCAAGAAAATACATAAGCTTCATACCCCATTACAATCACTCTAAAACCATAAACAGAGTTCTATAAGCTTACTAACTTAATAGCAAGTTCATCAAGTAGAACAAGACAGACTTAGAAACAGAAATATCCCAAAAACAAAGTGCAATTTGCCAATGTGGTATTCTCAGTGTAAAGTACTATAGTTAATGTAAAGATTCTCTTATGCAAAAGGCATCCTCATCTTCAGCTTGCAACTTAATTTAGATATAAAGGTTTCCATTCACAAATCACAATAAAAATATTAAATCACATAGAGGCATGATCCCAAAGAAAAGAAAATGATCGCTTCAGGTAAAGACTAGAGAGGCTAAAAACCTGCAAGTTGAGGAGCCATAACTCATTAGTAAGTCAAGGTTTAAAAAAAAAAAAAAAACTGAAACCAATTGATTCACTACAACAAAGAATCTCAGTTACTTTGAAATGGTTCAATTGAACAAAACCATGCCTATTAAAACTTGAAAGGTTTGCTAACATTGGCTTGGTCGGGCCAAGTCGGTTCTTGTTTTCTCCCTAGATTTTTGCACAATGAAATGGAGTTCTCGTATCTAAGCCCATTTGGGACAAAAAAAATATCAGAACAAAGAGATCTAACACTTGTAGGTCCAAAACTTTAAAAGCTTTAAATATCTAGCCTAAACAAAGTAACAATTAAGATCAACAAACAAGTGCTCCTCTCTTGGAGTTCAATGTGATCAGTTCAAATCAATTTTTAACGCTCCATGTCAGAAAGAGGTCCTTGCCTCCTGATAATTCAGGCAAGGCCACTACAACCAGGTGTGGGGCTTTTTTGAGCACCTCTCATGTCAATCTCAACATTATGGGAGTCTAGTTCCTAAGAAGCAGCTTAGCCTTCAGACCATTGTGCAAATAAGTGGGAAGTAATTAGCAACTATGCATACAAGCACCTTAGAGGAAAGAACACAACCATCAACAAGGACAAAATACTAATTACGCCATAGTTATTTATTTATTTGAAAAAGAGCAAAACATACCATCCCAGCCAAATGGTGCAGGATCCTTCTCCCATTTCTTGTATTTCTCTTCTGCTGCCTCTTGCGTGTCAAGCATATATGCTTTAGTCATATCCAGGCCATTTGCATCTAGGAGTTTCCCAATTTGTTTCTTCCTCTCCTCAAGCCACTTCTGTTTTGAAATACCCCTAGATTCAGCCGGAGCTTCCATCCTCTTTCTTTCAGCAGCAATTTCAACTTGATTGCGCTTTTTTGCTTCTTGCTGCAAATGAAACAAGACATGAATATTTATATTTTGTAGGTATAAAATCAACTTTGAGCTCAAAATTACGATTTACGACAGTTTACCATCTTGTTCCTCAACTCCATCCACTTTTTCTGTCTCTTGGAAAGTTTTGCGTTTTCTGCTGCAGGATTTTCATGTTCACTATCAGACTGCTCTTCATCAAGATAGGGTTTTTCATCATCTATATCCTCCCCAGGGTATGAGTCACCTGGGGGATCGAGCTTGCTATCGCCACTGGCTAGCATAACTTCTGATGGATGTAACAAATCAAAAGCATGAAAAAAGACATGCCTAATATGATTTCTACAAATAATACAATATTATACCATACAGTCCGGCAATCTTAAGCGCAAATTTCAAAATTGAAATCAATATTTTTGGGATGCTTTCCAGAATACTTAATCATGGTGCCCTCCCATCGAACGACTGTTATAATCAAAAGGCAGAAAAGCTTCAGCCAAAAGGGCTGTGAAAGCTTATGTAAACGGCAATGTAATTTACGCAACTAAACAAGAGAGCAAGAAAATACCCCGCCACCGGAGAAAAATATCCCTCATTTTTATCATGGCAAACGATTACCTTGGTCAGTGAAATGTTATCAATACAAAGGTCTGAAATTATTAAGAAAAAACTAACCTGGTTCCTTCAGTTGCATCTTAGTTTTGGCTTCAGCTATGACTTTAAAGCAATAATCACTGCACTCATGGAAAGGATTGCTGGCATTTCGACAATCAGGGTGTACTGCTCGCTCTTCAGACATTTTTTAGCAAAAAAATTATCTCCTTTGTACCTGCTGCAGATAGGCAAAGATTCTAAGCCTAATCAAAAAAATTTCATGTCCAAAATCATTCTGTAAAACAAGAGAAGGCACCGAAATCGAAAGAACTGTAATCAAATCTTTCTTTAATGAAATCGTACCGTTTAGGTTTAGCACCTGGGTCTAAAATTCAGATAGCCCTCCCGAACCCTAAGTCCTAAGACGTTAACGAGGGAGAGCAAGGTAAACGAAGCCGGGCAGTTCATTGGGGTGAGTTGTCCATATATAAATGTAGATATAGTCATCGATAAAGGGAAAAATGATCTGGGACTTTTGTAAATATAATCCACTAAACTAAATAAATAACAAAATATTTATTATATTTTATAACATAATTAATTTATTATATTTATTAATAATATATCATTATATATTAATAATAAATTTTTTATAAATTTTTAATGATAAATCCTTATATATTAACATAAACTGATCATATTTTTAAATTTTTAAAAACTTTAATTCATATTTTTTAAATATAAGATTTTTTTTAATTAGTGGATCAATTTATTTAAATAATTTTTAGACAGTCTAGGAATAAAAAATTAATTTCAAAAGATTTTGAAAAAAGTTAAAATTATTTTATTTCTAACTGATAATAATAAAAATTGTTATTGTTTAATAATTTTTAAATTTTATGATTTTTTTATCGATATAATTTTATAATATTTTATATTGGATTATTTTTAAAGACCATCTAAAGTAGATTTTTATGATTTTTTTAAATTTTAAAAAATCATAAAATTATATAAGATATTTTTTGAAAAATAAGTGACATTTTTTATGAAAATAAAAAGTTTAAATAAACGGGTCCAAAATAAAATATGTAAAATCCCTCTTTCTCTTCTCAACTAATTAAAATAAAATTTAAGTTATTTAAATTTTAAAAATAAATTACTCATTAGAAAAATTTAAAATTGTAAAATTGTTCTTGTTTCATAATAATAATTATGAAAAACTGAAACTCAAATATATATTTATCTTCTCTCAAATGCATATATTTGTCTAACACCGTGGAAAATTTAATTTGAAAATATCCATCTAAAACTTAACTTTGATTGATTAAAAAAAAAAAACTTAACTTTGATGCATATATATTTTTTATTCAATGATCTACCTTTATATTTTTATTAAAAAAATCAGCTATTAGATTATGAACAATTCTATAAAAGATACATCAATGGAATTCCTCACATGGCTTATTGAAATATATTCATAAAAATGTAAAACACAAATATAGAATGTAAATTTTAGCTAACATCAATCGGTGAAAAGATAGCAGGTAGATGTATCTATATTTTTTCAAAAAAATTATTAAACAAATATTTAATTTATTTAATCCATTTTTTGCCAGAAACTTATTTCATCCCTGATGTCTATATTTCTTAACAATTATGAAATTTAAAATTTTAAAAAGTTATCTACACAAATTTTAAATTTCGTATGAAAATGATTGCTTGTATATTTTGTTCATCCATATTAATTATTTGATAAAAAAAATACCCAATGAAAATGCCCGTAGGGGTGGTTTGGCATTTATTACTGATTAGTGAGAGTATTTGTTCTGTCCCGAGAAAATGAAACTTCTCATGTCAGTTTTTTTTTTTTTTTTTTTGGAGCGTGCGAATGTGAAATTCATTTCAATAACAAGTTCAGAGGAATGCCTCAGCTTATTCATCCAGATTTTGCAGGATCACGCTAATTGGCTTGCAGACCATTGGATAAAAAGCAACTTATTTTCAATCATATATGGCCCCAAAAGAACACAAAAGAAAAATAGTTGATCACGAAGATTACTTGAAACAGAGATATAAGATTGATACATTGTACGCTTTAGATCAGTCCCACCATGCTTGCAGTACAACAAATAAAGTTTTAACACAGATTTCAAAATGAACCCAAAATGTATATGATTTACAAGCCTACTGAAGCCTAGTATCATGTGTACCCAACATTGCAATGTTCTGTGGTAACACAATGCATAGAAGAACAATAAGGATGCATGCCTATTCTACATGTTCTTGCCCTGCTTATGTATGTAACTTAACGAATTTATTCATTGAATATACTACTAGTTGATTTTTTGGACATTTCAAAGACGAAATTGCTCCGGAGCAGTACTACAATAACCCATCTAACAAGGATTTACTATCAAATTTACCGACCTCAGACTTGATCGACAGCATACTCTTGTCCAGTTCGGAAGACTGGAACTCAAGCTCCTTCAAGCGATCTCTGGCATCAGCAATTCGTGTTTTGATAGTAGTGACCTCTTGTTCTTTCTGAGCCAAAGTTTTCAAATTTGATTCCAGCTCTTTCCTCAGGGACTCAACTTCACGATCACAGCTAGCCTTTGCCATCTCCACCTCCTGGTGCTGATTGATGGTTTCCATGTTTTCAGCAATTTCTTCAAGGATACTATGCAACCAGGCTACTCGGAGTTTAGCAGACTCAACATCCTTAAGAATTGCTAATAATTCCTTGACTTTGGGCTTCGTTAACTCCATTGGTGAGGAGGACTGTAGCTCTTGAACCACATAGCATACACACTCCATGTAATAAGAGCGCATGGCAACTGATTCCAAATGACAGCTTTGTCCTATATCCCCATACTTGTCAAAAATTGATTGCAGGATTGGAGCATAACTTTCTTTCACATGATACCTTCCAATTGAAACACGGGATTCTGAAACCACGGATTCAATCCCATCCTCGTCACTGTCTTCATTGCTAAAATCCATGGATCCACCATTTGAAGCAGTGAGACCTCCTGTGTCATCAACGTAGGTGATTGGAAAAACCTTCTGAGAACCATTTTTTTCCTCCTCTTGATTTGTGTGTTTTGGGCTGCCAAGCTGCTTGGCATGATCCTTTGGTAGGTCTTTGTGGAAGGCAGGCTGCCAAAGGCGCAGAAGTGCAAGAGACAAAATTTAACTGTGCCTCTCACATGGGCTTGTTAAGAAAAATAAGAACAGAAAGGAAAAAATTGAGTTTGTTGGAGAAGTATGAGAGAGAAGAGAGCCACTACCACAATTTCTTCGTGATGAATTTCTCTTGAAACTGGCTTGGGAGATACGTTCTTACTGCTCACTACCTCAGCCCCGTTCTTTTCAGAATAATGTGCTATTGGTGATGAAACATCAGAGAAATAAATTGCTCCAATTTTTGAGGCAGGAACACTGTCAATAACAGGTGGTTCTGGCTTCTTTCTCCTGACCATCTTATTGGCACCTGCACCAGGAATGGACTGGAATCAGCAACCAATAATCATTGTATGTCCATGCCCACATGTATTTGTGAAGTTTTAAGTTCTCACAGTGATATACATGTAGACATTATTTTGAGAGCATTTCAAACCAATTCACAGATGGTACAGATGAGGTGAAGAGTATAATATTTTGTCAAGGAAGACAAATCTATCTCTGTGAAATGGTGGAATGAAATCTGGATGTCAAGGATGTTATTGTATTTGAATGCAAGTTTTTTAATAAAACTTAACGGTACCACAGTCCGTCTCATTCTCATTCTTGTCTGTTCCTGGCTAATTCCCAAGCTAGTTTCAATAAAATCAAGGAGACTACTGACGAATTTTAAGCAGAAGCAATAATTATATTTAATACTATAGAGGAGCCACGGGAAAAAATTTCAGGCAATCCTTTGTGATGACTTTCTTTGTTTGAACCCGCATGTTATGATTAGAAGATTATTTAGACACAAAAATTTTAACAGAACAGGGAACCACTTCTAATTTTAAGAAGACAGAAAAGCTGGCAAAACCTGACTCGGCTGTTGAAATTCCCTTGTAGCAATTCTCATTACATTCATGATAAGGATTAGATGCTTTTGGGCAAGATGAGTGCCTTCGTTTGTCTTCATTAGTCTTCTTGCCAAGCTCACCGTTGGTTACACTTTTGGGGTAACCTTTAAAAAGAAAAATAAAGGTTTTACATGTATTGACATATTGATGGCCATAAATAATCCCGAGAGAATTAAACATGCCCAACTCGGTAAAGTTTGAAGCATCAATATATTCTCTTTAAGTTCAATGATATTATCAAATATTCAATAAATCAATAATTACGAGTAACAAGTGAAGTCCCGAGGATTTTATAAATCCAAATGAATCTGAGCATGCCAAAATTACTGTTCAAATTATACAAGCAGGGGAGCAAAATCAAAAAAGAAAAAAAGACTCCGCAGGAAATGATTACCATATATAAGGTGCACTTCATACTACTCTCTCAGTATTTTACAACAAAGAAAAGAAATCAAATCTTGCTTAATTTATATCTAATTAGTGCATGTACCCAAAATCTAAGGCAAAGTTTCATGGTAGGCCGCCAGAAATGCAGAAGTGGGTTTCACTCCACAAAAAATTAGATAGCAGATAACAGAGCAAACATGGAGTAGAATTAACCTGATTTCTTTTGGTTTTTCTGTGTCTTCCCTTCCTTGATCTTTCTCAAGCAAGCCTCCGAACATTCATGGTAAGGATTTGAAGCATGTGCACAGTTTGAGATAACTTTTCCGTTCTGAGCCATCTCTTTCTAAAGTCTCAAGACAAATAAAAGGGAATTCAAATTATTCAACAGTCATGTGCTAACAAGTCCCTCTAGAAAATAAAAGGGAACACAAACAACAGTCAAGGAATATATAAGTGGAGGGGATGGATTAGGGGGAAAAAAACTACATATCTTCCCCTTGTTGGGATATTTAATGAGCGAAATGAAGAGGAAGGGAGAGAAATAGAAGTTAACTCATTTGAGGGGGAACGTAGGGAAATTGATCCCTATTCCCACAAATTTTAAAACTTTAAAAAAAAGGAAAACTGTTCCCTTTCCGTCCTTCTCATCTCATCTTCTCTGTTTCTTTTTCTTATCCATACACTCTGAATTTTTGTCGGCGAAACAAGATAAATTACATGATATAAAGTTAAATCAGCGTTGCTGACAAAAACTTGTTTGAAAAAAACAAAATCACATAATAAAGACTCGATTTGATTAATACACTGGCATAGATGCAACAAACAAAACGGCTCCACTTATCAATTTCAGAGCACGTTAGATTCATCTTTGGGCGCCAGTTCACCGCTAAAAATACGAAAAGCGCGAAACAGGACCAGAGGAAGAGGAAGAGGTATCCATGAAACTGAAATCCCAAGGGGGGAAGAACGAGAAGAGTCCAAGAGCTACCTACCGCAAGAGACCCCAAAACAAAACGATAAGCTAAGAATTGGGGGAGAATTTAGCAATGTAGGAGAAGTAAGCGTAGTGATGCGTGCCTCCGTTTTCTGACCACACCGGTAAGAGCTGGGAAGTTTTGAGGAGTCTCCTGTTTGACTAATAACGCAAAAAAAATGAATGGGACGATACAAGAGAGAGAAAGTTTTGAATGCCGTTGAATTTCATGCCGGAATTTTCAATATTTTATGGTGGGTTTCTAGAATCCCCAGAGGGTCTCGCCCGAGCAGGCTGGCCTCCCTTTTCCCATTGCCACCTCTGCTACGTGTCTGACGCAACTGTTGCTGTTTCATTCATTGACAATTGAAATCCACGTTTAACTATTCTGGGATCCTGTCAATAGTATATCATTTAATGCGTCAATAATTATTTATAAAAAAGCGTCAATAATTACGTGGGAAGGAGTATTTTACAAGTATTTTTAAAATAATAAATTTTATATTTTTTATTACACATAGTTGTCTTTTATTTCAAACAATCTATTCAAAATACTATCTATCATTAAATATAAGTATTTTTTAATAAAGATTTAAACTTAATTTGCTACATTGTGATGGATTAATCCCTCCTATTAAACACAACTATTGTTAGTTCTTTATTTTTTAAATTGCTAACATATGTCTTTTTATTTAAGAAGATCTCATTTGAGTTAGGGTTAAATAACAAATGTGAATACTTTTTTTAATAAGAATTCAAATGTTGGTTCATCACGCTATAAGAGATTAATGTCTTCGGCCCAATACAATTTGAGAAGAATTCTTTATTTTAAACACAATAATTTCATTAAAACTAGAGGTATATGCCCTTGCCTTAGTTTTTTTTTTTTTTAATAAAACCCCTTGGTATTATAATCATATCTAGCTGGCAAAAAATTGTACCTTGAACATTGATATAAATTTATGACAGATTATATTATTTAAAAAATTATAAATAGGGTGACATTTTTATATTTTATATACTGTAAAATGTATCAAGAATTCAAATGCTAATAATCATAAACAGTTTTTTAAATATACTTTTTGATTTGTATTAAAATATATCATACTTATGATTCCATATTTATTTATTTATTACTCCATTCATTATAAAATGTAAGACATTTTTTGATATGTTAAATGATAAAAAATGTAAACTTTCAAGATATAATCATTGTTTTCTTTTAAAAGTATCTCTATTAAATAAATTATTTTATATTTATTTTATGGTGAAACACTCTATTAAATAGAGGTAAATATAAAAAATAGGGTTAGTTTAAAGATAAGTAACTACTTTATTGAGGGATAAGATTTAATCAAAAATACTTTATATTTTTTTAACTAAGGGAGTAAGTCTTTTGTTTTTAAGAAGCAAGTATTTAAATAAATAAAATGCAGTCAATGCCTGCTTTTTTTTTTATCCTTGAAAGTCAAATGCAATACTTTACTTCGTCATGGCATCACCAATACTAATAGATACTCTACCTGTTTAAAAATATAAGACATTTTTAAAATTTTTGAGTGAAAATAAGTTGTTAGGAAAGTGGTAAAATTAGTATTGTATTGATATTTTTAAATTGTCTAATTATAGACTAAACTCTTTTGGACTCTTTAAGTATTTGGGAGTTTAAAATTGAATTGAATCCATAGGTGCTGTTTTTGAGTGACTCAAAGGATGGAGGTAACTGAGAATTTAAATTCTCTCATATGCATGTTTTAAATGCTTTTAGTATTATAAAAATTATGAAATGTATCTTATATGAATAGATGCAATTTAATGTTTTCAGGAAATATGAAAAGTGGGTATAAGTTAATTTGTTAAATAATGTGGGTAAAATAAGTATGATATACTTTATTGTAAATTATGATAATGGTTGAGAACTCTTTGCATATAAATTGTAAGTATGTATATGTGGATGAAATTGAGCACCTTAATTAGAAATTGTGACTTCTTAGCATGCAAAATTGCATTATGGTGCATAATTAAAATTGTGATACATTATATCATGATTAAGAATTGAAAGGGGTGAGAATTCATCCTAGTTAAGAGATTATTATATTATAAGTCCACGTGGCATAGATAACAGATGGGTAGGTTTCAATGTTGGATAGCTATGGCACTAGTTCCAACAGGAGTTTGGTGTAGTTCCTGCTTAGCCAATGATACTTACTATGGGAGTTGGTATGTGTTACCGGCAATAATTATGACACCCTGCGGGAATTCAATTAGCATGGGAGTCTATGATCCAAGTTTGGGTGCAATGATCTTTGGTTGGGTTACACTTCTAACATTGGAGAGCTTAGGCTAGCCTAGTCATGCGAATTGATCTTATTTTGAATTGTAACCCATGAATTCAATTAGAAAATATAAGGAAGAGATAAGGAGGAAAATTAATTGATCATGTATATTTAAATGTTTTATTTTGATCTAAAATTGTTAGTTATTGCTTTACAAGCCTTAACGCTTATGCCTACATATGTTAGAAGTTAGGATTCTTTAGTTATTAAGATATTTATCTCACCTAGTGATTAATATTTACAAGCAACACTTCAGGTAGTGAAAAAGGAAAGAATCTAGAGGCTTAGAGCTAGATTACACCTTGTATAGTCTCCTTTGTCTTTGTGTAGTAGGATACATATATCTATTGCCAACTTAAAGATATATTATGTATTTATGATTGCAGTTAATTTTGTGACTATGATTGTTGGCTGCCTAGCCTTTTTGTGAAGCAAACTCATGAGTTTGTATTTGGGCTAGTGAAATTATTATGGATTAATTATTGTGTTGAGATATTGTTGAATATGGGATGTCTAGCCTTTATTGTTAATTCGAGTTTTATGTACTTGTGATATGGCCAATAAAATTGTGATTGACATTTATGTATGATTTTGATGATGATGTCCATGATTAAATTGTGGTTTGAAATTCTGCCATTTGGCTCATAGGAATTTCTCGGTTGAGTTGTTGAGTTAGAAAGTCAATTGTAGTATGAATGCTCAGTTCTATGAAAGAACCAATTTGTTCTTATGCTACAGTGTAAACTTAAATAATGGATTATAACTTGCTCTTGTTTGTTAATAACTCTGATATAGTGCATTTGTTCAGGTTAATGGTTTTGAAAATTGTTTTTTATTTGGATCCCATTTTCAAATAGTTTTCTTTGTCCGTTTTTTTGGTAACCATGGTTAAATATATTCTACTATAGTAATAGTTAATAAGGGACACTAACCTTAATTACCATGGTAGTAAGGTTTAATTAATGGGTAAATTATTATGGGTATTACACCAATTCACTTGATGAGAAGTTGTACTCAAATTAGACATGCTTTAAATGATAGCAAGAGCTTGGGCATGAATAGATTCAATGTGCTCCAGCTTATTCTCAAAAATTCAAGAGTTACATCGTCTCAAAATAAGCCAACAGATAACAGTACACATTGCATTCCAGTCATTAAAAAAATCAAAAGTTGAATAACTTAAATTCCATTTGAGCTAAGATTTAAGCTTAAGAGAGAAGAATACATGGCATCTTGAAGGGCTAATTAAATCATACTAAAGTTTATAAGTCATAGGGTAGTTATGTAGAACATGCATGAGATTCTCCTGTTCATCATTACATCAAGAACAGCTACAATCTGTCATCATTTTCTTGTAGCATCTGGCTTTATTTATTAAGAGTTGATTACGAACACAGAGTTATAAGTTTTTATATCTTTGAGGAGTTTTCACCTTCTAAACTTTCTCCCAATTAAAACAGTTGGAATGAAGTGGAGAATGCAATGCATTGTAAGCCAAATGAATAAAGAAGTTGCCATGCTTTTCCTACTTCCAACAGAGATCATTGCCATTATCCATTCTGTCCAGTCCTTCCTTCACATTATGCCATGTGCTTTTAATCCTAGCCCAAGTATTAGAACTAGGTTGGTTGTTTTGAATATTAGGAAGCAAGTCAGATCCACATTTATACTTTTCACAAATGATTCTTACCTATAGTTCATTGGGCTTCTTAACTAAGTTCTAACCAGTTTCATCAAGAAAGCTTGATTCTGGGTGCGAGTGTTTTTGAGACCCACTCCACTATCTTTCTTATGACACAAACATAATCCCATAATAGCAAATGAGTCTTTCGTAGGCCCCAAATAAAGTCTCTATTACACTTGTCAAGAGTCTCACAAGTACTAGTAAGTAATAGAGAAGTTTGTATAGTGTAACTTGGGATGGCAGAAGTAATTGAAGAAGTAAGAGTCACCCTACTTGCCTTCTTTAAAGCTTTTTTCCAGGTTTCGAGCATGGATTTTCTCCTCTTCTTTTCTTCCCTTCCCTTTCTTTTCCCTTTCTAGACATTAAATTAAGATTTAGACTGTTCAAATTTGATCTTCTATAAAATGATTATTAAAATATTAAATTTTAAAAATATAAATAATAAAATTTAAATTGCTAAAATTTAATAGAAATGATTAAAAATATAGTAAAATAAAATATTTTTTTTAGAAAAATAGATTTAGATAATCCAAAATCTTAATCTAATAGTTAGAAATTAAGAAAAGAAGGGAAAGAGAATGTGAAGGAATAGGAGAGAATCTTGACCATTCTGTAATGCATCCATTCTATTGATCTTAACCTATAAGTTAATCAATTAAAGCAGTTGACGTTTTTTTAATAGAAAAAGAATAAAAAGAAAAGCTGGATTAATTTCTTTCAAGGAAATGTTACATAAAACTAGTACATGAACTTAGCATAAGATGTGAAATAAATCAACAAAAAAAAAAGTTCTAGCATACTTTACACATTAAGAACTTTTCAAATAATATTAACCTTTTGAAAAAATTGAAAGAAGTGAGGAGAAAAATAAAGGAGATTGAAAAAATGATATCAATATGAAAGGCTTATCATATATCATCCTAATAATAATTAATGAATAGCTTAATAATATTAAAATATTTCTTAAATCTTAACATAATAAATTTTGATAGACAACAAATCTAAACACACTAAATCTTCATAAATAATATATTCTAACATTCGCTTGCTCTTGATGAGTTTCAGTTTTTTTTTTAAACAACAAAAGCTAACAAAACACAACTACCCTACAAAACAAGAAAGAAAAGAGCCAGCTTCCTATAGAATAGAAAATGGAGGCTAACAGGCAATGCAAGACCATTTATTGTGATTCGATTCAATAGTATCTTCTCTTCTAATGTATCCAAGATCAATAGTCCAATCACATTGAAGCAAATTATGGCATTTTGAGAACAAAGTCTAGTGAGC